TGTTAAAGGGTTAAATGTAATTTTACAAACATTAGGGAATGAGAAAAAAATGTTGGAAGATACATATTTTAAATCAGAATGAAAAAAATCTTTCTAATCATAAAGCTGATATAATGAATTTAAAAAAATTCCAAACTACAATATTCCACAGAAAATTAAAAGATAAGTAATGCATTAAAACTTTGGGGAATTAACATGAAAAGAAGCAACCTCCAAAGTCAAAAGTTCAAAGAGACAGTAAAAAATCCTTAAAGGATAAATCCTAATCATTACCACACATATAAAAAACGTTTTAATAATATTTATAGTAAAAGATGTTGAGAATTTGCCAATTGCAGTGTGAGGAGAATGAGTACAATTGCACCCCTTCTTGTCACCCTCATTTTCTGCTCCTGAGAAAAGGAAGAGACACACTTGTTGACTTATTTTAAAAGCTCTTGTCTTTTGATTTAAGCCTCAGATCTGCTTTCCTTCTTCCTTTGCCATATGTGCTCTCACTATATATCTGGTCCCTTCAAAATTACTGTAATAATTGACTTCCTTTTTGGGGGCATTTTATCTTGAATGTCTTGTTTGTTCTCTTGGCCTGTCCTTATTCCCAATTCAATCAATGATTGACAAGGAAAGCAGCACAGTGGAGGGGTTTAGGGGTGTAACGCACAGCCTTGGGAGTAAGGCTACCTGGTTTCAAATCCTAGTTCTACTAATTAGGGGCCAAGAGAAACTAAGGGGATTACTTAACATTTTAATATCCTCTGCTATAACGTGACAGGAATTTAATAGATTCTCCTTAGTAGATCCATAGGCTTGTTATATGGACCAAATATGTCAATATTTATGAATTACTTAGAGCAGTCGCTGATATATAATAACTGTCATATAAATGAGGGATAAAATGTATTTTTAATATGTATTTTGCATAGATACTGTGGTTCATTTTCTTTCTTTTAATGCTTACCATGTTTTGTAATGCAGAAGTATTTATTTGTTACATAAGGATATTGGTCATTCTTTTTTTGATTTCTAAACATTTATTATTTTTATTACTTTTTAAAATGTTTACTTTTGATTTTTTTTAATGTTTTATTTATTTCTAGGAGACAGAGAGAGAGACAGCGTGAGCAGGGGAGGGTCAGAGAGAGAGGGAGTCACAGACTGAAACAGGCTCCAGGCTCTGAGCTGGCAGTCAGCACAGAGCCCGAGGCGGGGCCCGAACCCACGAACCGTGAGATCATGACCTAAGCGAAAGTCGGACGCTTAACGACTAAGCCACCAGGGCGCCCCAAAATGTTTACTTTTGAGAGAGACAGAGCATAAGCGAGGCAGGGGCAGAGAGAGAGAAAGACATAGAATCCCAAGCCGGCTCCAGCCTCTAGGCTATCAGCAGAGATCCTGACATGGGGCTCAAACCAAAGATTATGACCTGAGCTGAAAATGGACACTTAACCGACTGAGCCACTCAGGCACCCTACTTTTTTGATGTCTAAATTTTTATACTAAATAAAGATTCTTTCCTTTTATGTTTTCATTTAATTTTTGAGAGGGAGACAGAGTGTGAGTGGGGAAGGGGAAGAGAGAGAGGGAGACACAGAGTCTAAAGCAGGCTCCAACAGCTCAGAGCCTGACATGGGGCTCGAACTCACGGATGGTGAGACCGTGACCTGAGCCAAAGTCAGACCGACTGAGCCACTCAGCAGCCCTTATACTAAATAAAGATTCTAGTGGCCAAAGTGATATATAGTTTTATTTGAACACATATATTTTATATTTAAATATTTCCTATATGACTTATTTTTCAGAAACAGCTTTAATATATAGTCATACCATAAAAGTAACCCCTTTGAAAAATATGAAGTTCAGTGGCTCTTAGTATATTCTCAAAATTGTGCAGCCATGGGGCCCACTGAGTTGAACCTTTGACTCCTGATTTAAGCTCAGGTCTTGATCTCAAGGGGGTGAGATTGAGTGCCATGTTGGGCTCCGGGCTATGTTTGGAGCCTGTTTAAGATTCTCTATCTGACTCTCCCTTTGCCACTCTCCCACTCACTCTTGCACATGCTCCCTCTCTCTCTCTCTAAAATAAACAAACAAACAAATAAGTAATTTTGCTGCCATAATGACTATCAAAGTTTAGAATATCTTCATCACTCCAAAAAGGAATCCAACCTATTAACACTTGTTTCCTATTACCCTATCTGCTCAGCTCCTGGTAACCATTATTCTATTTTCTATCTCTATGGATTTGGCATTCTGGACATTTCATATAAATATACTCATAGAATTTGTGGGTTTTTTGGTTTCATTTTTTTGACTTAGTGTAATGTTTTCAAGATTCATTCATTCTGTAGTATATATCAGTACTTTATTCCTTTTTATAGCCAAATAATATTCTATTATATATCACTTTGTGATATCCATTTATCAATTGGACATATCACTTTGTGTTTATCCATTTATCAATTGATAGGTATTTCAATTGTTTTCACTTTTTGGTTAACATAAGTAATGCTACTATGAACATTCATGTACAGTTATGTATAGATTTTTATTTTTTTAAATTCTTTTGGTTATATGCCTATGAATGAAATTGTTAGACATATGAAACTAACTTTTTGAGGAACTGCCAAAACAGTTATCCCAACAAGCTATTCCATTTAATATTTCTACCAACAATGTTGGAAGGTTCCAATTTTCTCACATTGTCTTCAACGATTGTTATTAGTGTCATTTTTTTTTACACATCCTAGCAGGTGTGGAGTGGTATTTCATAGTGGTTATTATTTATTCCCCTAATGACTAATGATGCTAAGTATCCTTGTATGTGACTATTGCCCATTTGTAATTATTTTTTAAAATAGATATCTATTCAAATTCTTTACTTATTATTTTAATTGGAATATTTGTCATTTTATTGTTCAACTGTAACAGTTATATATATATAACTCCTCTGGGCAGCACAAGTTGTTAATTTTGATGAAGTATAATGTACCCAATTTCCTTGAGTTTGCTCAAATCTTTGCTCAGTGCAGTGGTGAGCTAATGATTGAACAGATATTTCATTAAATGTATTGAATCAATAAGTCTTCCAGACTTGACCTAGGTGCTATATTTCTGCTTTGTACTATACACAGAATGCTCCCATAGGCAGTTACAAGTCTGCCTTAGCCTTCACTTTCTGTCCTTGTGGGGCCTCAGTGTCCATCAGAGACCAGAAATTAGGGATTCTTTTCCTAATTCTAAAATGTAAAGAAAATACATCTCTTTTAGGCACATTTTTATGGCTATCTAAAGTCCCAGAAATATGCAGATCTTTTCATATCCCTCTCTTGACATCACACTCCCACTTTTCATTTTAAGCTTTATTTGTTTCTTTTATTTTGTATTGTTTTGTTTGGTACACCTGTTGTTATCTCCAGTTAGTATCTCCATCATAAGAAGTTGTAATGTTAAACAATTGCTGGTTGTTGTTGTTTTTTTTTTCCCAATAAAGTCCTTAGAGATAGTACTCAAAGCCTTGCTCAAACAAACAGTCACAAAATGGAAGTTCTCAAGGGGCTGCTAGGTAGGGCAAATGGTGACAATTCTCTGGGGATGGGACCTTGTGGAAGAGCTCCAAGCCTGCTCTTCCCCTTCCAGTGCCTGCTAGGATGATGGTTTTCACAGCTAGCAGAATTATGAAGCTAGTGGTTCAAGGCATCCACGCAGCTGTGGAGAGAGGAATGCCACAAATCTCTTTGTTCTTACTGAGATTCCACTACTCTTTTAGAGTGAATGCTCTGTAGATTGGTTGCAAGCCCTTTTTATCTATTTCCAAAGTTCTGAAAAAGTTGATTTTGACAATTACTGTAGTGTGTATTCATTGCCTTTATGGCAGAGAAGTCTTTCTGGTCTTTTCTCTGCTGTTCCAGAGGTGTTTCTTAGATTTGTTTTTGACAATCACTGTGATATCTTTTTTGTCTTTCTTCTTTCCAAAGTGGTCATACATTGTCCCCATAGGTTTGAAAAAGTATGGTTATTTTGTTCTAATGTATTGATTGTTTCTGGGCTTTAAAAAATCGTATTCTATCAATATAGCTATGAATTTTATCTCTGAGACCATACTGCTTTCATCATTTTTAATGGGTAAACATATAACTGAAGGATATAAAAATTAATGAACAAGTATAAGTGTAAAGAACATACTTAAGAGGTATTTGCTCTAGCTACAAATAAAAACAAGGCATTTTACAACTTTATTAATTAAAAATGGACAGCCTCAGGAGTTATGTTCCAAGACTTGCAGTGGATGCTTGAAATTGTGTATAGTATCAAACCCTATGTACACTGTGTTTTCTCCTGTGCCTACATACCTATGATAAAGTCTGAATTATAAATTATGTATAGTAAGAGTTAACAACAATAAGTAATAATAAAATAGAAAAATTATAACAATATGCTATAATAAAAGTTATGGAATGTGGTCTCTTTCAAAATATCTTATTATACTATACTTACATTTCTTGTAGTGTAATATGATAAAATGCTTATGTGATGAGATGAAGCAAGGTGAATGATGTAGACACTGTGATTTAGTGTGAAGCTACTACTGACCTCCTGATGTTACATCAAGAGGAGGATCATTTGCTTTCAGACTGTGGTTGACCATGGGTAATGGAAACTGGGGAAAACATACCCATGGATAAGGGGAGACTGGTGTAAGCTAAATTAGAAAAAATATATATGTGGAAATGGATTTTACATATAAACTCATATAATTCAATTCAAACACTAAAAAAGCTGTATGTATGAGTGAAATTACACTTTTTAAACAAGGCATATCTTGAGAAATGGTAATTATAGTTCTTCCAACTCTCTAAAGACTAATAATGATATTTTGATAATTTAAAAACAATACTTTAGTCTATTTTGCTCCTGAATACACATTTATTTTTAAGTGAATTGTTCAAATACAATTTAAATACAAACAGCTCATTTTGCTTTATTTTATTTCATTTCTATAGGACTTTGGAGATGATGGGTCCTTGTACATTACTAAGGTTACCACAACTCACATGGGCAATTACACCTGCTATGCAGATGGTTATGAGCAAGTCTTTCAGACTCACATCTTCCAAGTAAATGGTAAGAAATATGGTGTTGCTATTATTGTTTTATGCTTCACTATATATTCAAAGAATTTCACAGTTGATTAGGAAGGCAAAACTTTAATTTTTTTTTTTTTTTTTTTTTTAGTTGTGGCAAAGTTTAAGCTTTGTTTTGGGAATTATTGTTAACGTAAAACCTATTTTAATAATAAAAAAAAAATGTGCTGGTGTCTGGTGGCTTAGTCAGTTAAGCATCCAATTCTTGACTTCGGCTCAGGTCGTGATCTCACAGTTTGTCAATTTAAGCCCTGCCGTAGAGTATACTCTGACGGTGTGGAGCCTACTTGGGATTCTTTCTTACCCTCTCTCTCTCTGTTTCTCTCCCACTAATGCTCTCTCTCTTTCTCAAAATAAATAATTTTTTTAAAAAAGAGGTGGTTGAGTGAGTAAATACTAGAAATTTGTACCACTTGTCTCATTGTGAAATATTATAGAGTAACTCATTCTAATTGGAAAATTAGAACATAAGAAATTTAAGTTATTTTTTGAGCTTTAAATATCAACAGTTAGGCAACCATATACCTTTTAGAAACAGAAAAAATTAAGCATGATAAAATTTAATCAGATTATCTGGTTGATCTTATTAATGATATAAAAACTGCCATTTATGTACAGCAAATATTATACTTTAATAATTAACTAAATGGCTGTAACATTGGCCATATAAGCTAATATTATTCTTATAATCAGAGCCTTTTTTTCTGATTTAATTCAAATTTAAGCTTTTTAGTTCAATTGAGAATATAAGATGATATATATAATACATTAATTCATACTGATTCACTTCCATATTGATATATATGTTAATTTACTTTATGATTTACTAAAGGGAGAAAGAACCTAACTTGACCTTTCATAGAAACAACAAGTTGGCTAGTATGATTGGTTTTAATTAAGGGGAGAGTGGCAGATATGAGCTTGGTGAGGTAGTCTGGGGTCAGATCATGTGGAACCATGTGGACCTAATTAAATATTTGATTCCCATTCTGAGTATTTAGTGTATGGAGTGTCATATTCTGACTTATTCTAAAATGACTGGAAGCACCAACTGTTTTTTTTAAACTATTTTAATAGTCTAAGGAAGAGATGATTGTGGCTTAAAATATATTGTTAATGACAAAGAGGTAAAGAGTTGTTAAATTTGAAATGTATTTTGCTACACATTCAATGCAATGCCAATCGAAATTGCACCAGCATTCTTCTCAAAACTAGAACAAACTATCCTAAAATTTGTATGGAACCACAAAAGACCCCGAATAGCCAAAGTAATATTGAAGGAGGCAATACGGGAGGCATCACCATCCTAGACTTTAGCCTCTACTACAAAGCTGTCATCAAGACAGTATGGTATTGGCACAAAAACAGACACATAGACCAATGGAATAGAATAGAGAATTCAGAATTGGACCCACAAACGTATGGCCAACTAATCTTTGACAAAGTGGGAAAGAGTATCCAATGGAAAAAAGACAACCTCGTTAACAGATGGTGCTGGGAGACCTGGACAGCAACATGCAGAAGAATGAAACTAGATCATTTTCTCACACCATATGCCAAAATAAACTCAAAATGGATAAAGGACCTGAATGTGAGACAAGAAACCATCAAAACCCTAGAGGAGAAAGCAGGAAGCAACCTCAACCTCAACCACAGCAATTTCTTACTTGACACATCCTCAAAAGCAAGGGAATCAAGAGCAAATATGAACTATTGGGACCTCATCAAGATAAAAAGCTTCTGCAAGGCAAAGGAAACAACCCACAAAACTAATAAGCAACTGATGGAATGGGAAAAGATAGTTGCAAATGACATATCAGATAAAGGGCTAGTATCCAACATCTGTAAGGAACTAATCAAACTCCACACCTGAAAAACAAATAATCCAGTGAAGAAATGGGCAGAAGACATAAACAGACACTTCTCCAAAGAGGACATCCAGATGGCCAACAGACACATGAAACGATGCTCAGCGTCCCTCATCATCAGGGAAATACAAATCAAAACCACACTGAGATACCACCTCATGCTGGTCAGAGTGGCTAAAATGAACAAATCAGGAGACTCTAGATGCTGGTGAGGATGTGGAGAAATAGGCACCCTCCTACACTGTTGGTGGGAATGTAAGCTGGTGCAACCCCTCTGGAAAACAGTATGGAGTTTCCTCAAAAAATTAGCAATAGAACTCCCCTATGACCCAGCAGTAGCACTGCTAGGAATGTACCCAAGGGACACAGGAGTGCTGATGCATAGGGCACATGTACCCAATGTTCATAGCAGCACTCTCAGCAATAGCCAAAACATGGAAAGAACCTAAGGGTCCATCAACTGATGGGTCAAGAAGATGTGGTATATTTATACAATGGAATACTACATGGCAATGAGAAAGAATGAAATCTGGCCATTTGTAGAAACATGGATGGAACTAGAGGGTGTTAATGCTGAGCGCAATAAGTCTGGCAGAGAAGGACAGATACCATATGTTTGCACATATAGGTGGATTAGGAGGAAACTAATGGAGGATCATGCAGAAGAAGGGGAAAAATAGTTAAGGAGAGGGAGGGAGGCAAACCATGAGAGGCTCTTGTATGCTGAGAACAAACTGAGGGCTGTTGGGGATGGGGGAGAGGGTAAGGGGGGTTGATGGGCAAGGGGGAGGGCACTTGTTGGGATGAGCACTGGGTGTTATATGTAAACCAGCTTGACAATAAACTATTTAAGAAAAAAATTTGAAATATATTTTGACAGTAGATCTGGTGATAGTATTGAGGAATGGCATGTATATATAAAAGAGAATTGAAAAAAAAAAACCAAGAGATTTGAAACATTTACATATATTCTTGTGACATAAACTGAGTATAGAGGAAGCACATTTGGAGACTGAGTGAGATTAATATATGTTTTTTTGGAAAAGTTAACTTCAGTATAATTTCTAAATGGGAATCAAGTCTTCAATTTAGTATGTAAGTTTGGAGGTCAGAGGAGGGTGTCAGCCTAAGTTGTGTATTTATATAATATCAATATACATAAGCTGTATTAAAAGCTATAAATTTGAGCTTGATGAGGTCACTTTAGTAATGAGTATAAATATTTATATTGAGGATTAAGCATTGTAGCTGAGGTTAACAAGTGGAGAAAAGAAAACTTAGAATGAGCACTTTGTGCTTGTAAGAAGTGTATGTGTCCTGAGAAATCAATTTTAAAATGTTGGCAAAAAAGTAGAAAAGATTGGAGAGTTTACGGTTTGACTGTTAGGGACCCTCAAGAGGAGCAGATCTAAGCCTTGCTTTCTAACGTAAACCCAGTTGTAACTAGATGGGGGAAGCCTTGGAAACCAACTTTCAAGGAAGCCGGTGAAGAGGGCAGACAAGGTACAAAGGAGGTGATGCATGCGATTCCCAGTCATCTCAGATGTTTAGAGTTGGACTCTGGATACAGTTGTACCCGAGGATACACAATCTTGAGGACAGAACAACTCTGCATGAGGGATGTTCTCTATCTAAATGCTGCATTTCTGGGGAAATGGCTATTGTTGCAAATCTGGTTCTTTCCTCCCTCTTCCTTGTGATTGTTTACCGACTAAAGGCCTATTTGACAAGACTAATGCTCTGAGGTGTTCATTCTGTTTTGTTAGAGATTCTCCAGTTTTGTTTTGGTTAACAGTTCTCTATTTTATACTCATTCTCAGTCTGACTCTCTCAGTCTAAGGACCAACCGATCAAGTTCTTAGTTTCTAGAGTGGTGCATGGTTCATGTTCTAGCTGCATCAGAATCACATGAAAAAAAGAAACTATCAAAAATGTTGAATGGACTCCACAAGCACTTTCTGGAAATTGATTTGAAATCTGCATTTTGTCAAGCTTCCTAGTAAGTATAATGCACGGTCAAGCATGGGAATCATTCCAAATGACTGTTCTTTAGGAGTTTCTGTTCCTCATTGATGTCTGAAGCAGACTTCTTACACAACTTTACTCATTTGCCGTGCTCCAGCTGGGAAGCCTAAGAAGAAGACTTTGAGGCAAACAGCAGGCTTTCATGTTGCAAGATATGTCCTGAGCAGCACTGGAGAAATGCAGTTTCCCTACTTCATCCTCTCCTGTGAATGAACTGCTTACTCTCTGATCTCAGGTTTTTCTGAAGATGGAATAACAGAATAAAGGAACAATGAGATCTCAGCAATAGAGCCATGACCATCAGTTTCAATATTATGAGCTAATTTAGAGGAATTCAATATTAGCAGTGACTGCCACTGAGATCTAATGCTGTCCCTCTTCTAGAAACAAAGATCCCTGAACCTGGGGGTAAAACTCATCTCTTTCTGTTACCTCCTACTACATTTAATCTATTTCAGAATCTTTCATATACATGTTTCTATGAAGGCATGGGGTTTAGGAAAAGGGAAAATGATATTATTATTGCTGAACATTGGTTGAAAGTGAACAGAGAGAGAACTGTTCCCTTCGGGAGGGAGCATAAGGAAATAATCCTCTTTGCATTGCCTGGATTTTTTTCAGGCAGTCAGGAATGTCAACTATGGAAAGTGAGGAGTTTGTGAGAGTTTCAGTTTCAGGAGAGGAAGAGATAGAAAATAATTATCTTGCAGGCAGGAGGTGATAGAAATGGCAGGCAGCAGTTGGAATGTTGGCAGATCTTTGAGTGCTCTTGAAGTGATATATATACTGATATGTTTTCCTTCAGTTATGGTCAGCTGTAAGTTTGCAATCCTAGAAAGAAGGGATTTAGGTTTAACCCACATTTTATTTTGTCAGGTGAATAAGTGGGAGAAAATTAGCCATGAGGAAACTAAACAGGTTTGTAAGAGAATGATTATAATAATGGACCACAGAACAAGTGGTCAGGTAAGGAAAGTGGTAGGTGAGGAAAGCAATGAAACCGTGAAATATGTGAAATGAAGTGAAATCCTGAATGATGTTTCCAAGTTGATCAAGTACTACTAGGATGAGGTACTAGAGAGGATGG